GAGAAGAGTGGTGGTCGGAATGGTCGCCGGAACGATCGCCGGAAAAAAGTGGTGGTCGGAATGGTCGTTGGAATAGTCCCGGAGCAGTAGGGGTGGTGCAAGTGGGGTGGGTTAATTATATTATATTATATTATATTTAAAAAAAAAAACTGATTTTTGAATTTTTAAATTATAAACCTAATTTTTGAATTAGTGTAAAGTAAACACCTTATTTATAAATTTTTCCCTAATATATATACCTTGAATCCCCCAAGCCTTGGTTTGAATATACATTTATAATGAAATTCTACAAGCCCCCTTTAATTGTTGGACCGAAGTATGTATTTATAAAATAAGATTTAGACAAAATTCTTGTTCAAATTGATTTCTAATAAAGAGTTTGAATTGAGTTCTACCAAAGAGTTTAAGAAATAAATTTAACTCCTTTTCTCACGTGACATTTTATCATTTGTCAATTTAAAACACAATTAATTTTTTTATCCAATATTTTCCCTCAACATCATATTATGTTATTCATTATATACATTTTTATATACAAAAAGCAAAATTCTTTGCAATTAAGATCTTTTCGTTCTAAAATTATTATAATTGATTCGATGCAAGTTCCGGAGTTTAAAATTTAGTTCTCAAACTTTCCAAATCTTTTAGTGAATGTTCCATTAATACTTCCAAATATTGATCTCTTGCAATCCAGTTAATCTTCAATTTCTTCATATCAACTCCAATTAAGCTCTAAATAGCCTCTTTTCCCATAAATTGTATCCAAATTGAGATTTTCTTACAATGAACATGATTTACACAAATTAAATAGATAATCGCTCAACTTATTTATAATTAAATAAAAATAAATGCACTTATCAACTATAATCTCTAATTTGTGTTGTTTTGTTATTAATTCTAAAGTCGGTTTCTCTATTAAAAACAAGTACTGCTCCCCACCATACTAACACCATTATTCACGTATATTTTAACGCGACTTCTTCTAGACCATTGGTTCAATTTGTGGCCCATATTTCATGCATACAAAAAAATTGGATCACGTTGTACCCAAGCCAAAAGGGTAAGAAAAGGAAATTTGGACATAGCCAATGAAGTTTTTTTTTTTGGACTTCCGAATTATTTGTTCTAAACAAAATGACGCGAGCCTTACATAAACACTGACATCATCGTTGCATGTATCAAACAACTGTCCTAGATTTTTTTCATCTAGAAGATGCTTCACCCCCCACCCTTTCCACCTCTACGTATATTCAAATAATTGCAACCAAGAATTAAAAAGAAAACCGCTATATATATCCTCCATTTTTTTATACCATCCAACTAAAAAGTTTCCTCCATAATTGTCCAATCTCGAGCACAAACCCTAAATAACTTCTCATTCATGGAGTCTCATATTGCCATTTTCCCAACTCCAGGGATGGGCCACCTCATCCCACTAGTAGAATTTGCCAAAAAACTTATTCAAAAACACAATTTTACGGTAACTTTCTTCATCCCAACTGATGGGTTTCTCTCAAATGCATCAAAATCCTTTCTTGAAAATCCCACACCTCGTATAGAATATGTTGTTCTTCCCCCTGCCAATATTGATGATTTGTCCGAGGATGTTAAGATTGAAACTCGTATTGCTCTCACTGTTATACGTTCCCTTTCATCCCTTCGTGATGCTGTTAAATCATTTGTTTCGACTAAAAACTTTGTGGCTTTTGTGGTTGATTTGTTTGGGACTGATGCATTTGAGGTTGCCAATGAATTCGAGATTTCTCCATATATTTTCTATCCCTCTACGGCCATGTGTTTGTCATTATTCTTAAACTTGTCGAAGCTAGATGAATCTGTGTCGTGTGAGTATAGAGACATGTCTGAGAAGGTTCGGATCCCGGGTTGCATGCCGATTCATGGGTCGGATCTTTTGCAACCGGTTCAGGACAGGAAAAATGATGCATACAAATGGGTTCTTCATCATTCAAAGAGACACAGAATGGCAGAAGGGATTGTTTTGAACAGTTTCAAGGAATTGGAGCCTGGTGCCATTGAGTATTTGCAAGAACCAGAAACTGGTAAGCCACCCGTTTATTGCATAGGACCCTTGATTCGAATGGGCTCAGTATCTGAAAACAATGAAGGATCTGTATGTTCGAAATGGCTAGATGAACAGCCAAGTGGCTCAGTTTTGTATATATCTTTTGGGAGTGGTGGGACCCTGTCCCATCAACAGATAACTGAAATTGCATTTGGATTAGAGATGAGTGAACAAAGGTTTTTGTGGGTTCTTAGATCTCCAAGTGATACAATTGCCAATGCTACATATTTCAGTACTCAAAATTCTTGTGACCCTTTGGCTTCTTTGCCACAAGGGTTCTTGGATAGAACCAAGGGGCGTGGACTAGTGGTGCCTTTATGGGCACCTCAGGCACAAATTCTTAGCCACGGTTCAACCGGTGGGTTTTTGTCACATTGTGGTTGGAACTCAACCCTTGAGAGTGTTGTTAATGGTATACCGTTGATTGCTTGGCCACTCTATGCAGAACAAAGAATGAACGCAGTTATGTTGACTGAGGACATGAAAGTAGCCTTAAGGCCAATATTCAATGAAAATGGTCTAGTGACGAGATTTGAAATAGCGAAAATTGTGAAGAATTTAATGGAAGGAGAAGAAGGTAAAGGGATTCAGAGTCGAATGAAAGACCTTAAGGATGCAGCTGCAAAAGTTCTTAGCGACAATGGATCTTCCACAAAATCACTCACGGAATTGGCTACCAAGTGGAAAAGTAAGTTAGTATTCAAATAATTGAATTATGTTTCTTTATAATTAATAGAGTAGGGTTTGAATGAATTGTTTCTATCATTTATGGGTTGTTAATAATGGACTAGAATTTTATGTATTGTACAGTTGTCTTTATATTTAGGGTGTGTTAATTTGAGCCACATTATTTTGGAAGAATGTATTTTGGAATAGTAGATTGACGGAGAATGTGGTTGAAAAAGAAAGAAAAGTTACTGATGTGATGAAAAATATTAATTTTTTGAAGAATGTGTGGTTGAAAATGAGTAGAAGAATGAAATTTTAATGTAACTCAAACGGGGCCTAGACTCTAAGACATTAATGGATAAATTATGTAGGATGAAAAGTTAGGTTAGATGGGCACATCAAAAATTTGGAACTCACAATCAAACAAGGGAGGAGAAAATTCAGTCAGATCCCACAATAAAGTGGTGAGAAGTTGGAGTAGGTGGACTATCATGTTAATTTTAAAAATGGTTGTCTGTTTAGTAACTAAAGAAAATACTCGTTTATTTCCGACCACATTTGAATAGATTAGGTGGGTGCGAAATCAGAATCGCTATATCCGATCAATACATGATATATTTGAGGTACCGTGCCTTTCAAAAGCTCTCAAAAAGGTTATATCAGTGTCTCAAAAAGTTTTAAGTCCAATTCAGTCTAAAATATATTAATTTAGTCTAAATATTGATATTTTAAGTAATAACTTATTCTTAATTTGTGAGTTCAATTTGTAATGTGCTTCATGGGGGTTTTTTTGTTCCCTAATAAAAAAAAAAAAAAAGAGTAGTAAAAGTCAAATAAAGAAAAATTTGACTTTTGATAATAATTTTGCTCAATTAGAGCCCGTTTGATTCTCATTATTGTAGAATGAGAATGAAAGATATAGTCGTTATTGGGCACCATACAAGAGATAAAAATTTAAAATTGATGGCTTGATGTGAAAGATAACGGTCATATTTTTCATTTTTATGGATGGAAAATGAGAAACAAACGAGCCCTTATAATTCCACTCTTCCAAAGATGAAAAAAGCACTAACCTTTAAACCTTGAACTTGAGTTAACAATCAATCTATGTTCCAAAAAACGATCTTAAAGTTACTATATTTTAAATGAATATCTTGATAGATAATAAGAGCTTGTTTGATCCTCATTTTTTTTCAAAATATATTTTTCTTTCTCTTCTTATCAACCACGCATTTTTCAATAAAATAATATTACACGCAACTCAAAATTTTTTCCTTCATTTCTAGTCACACATTATTTATCAATCTATCGTTCCAAATACATTCTATACTAAAAATGGGGTCAAACAAGTCCTAAAGAATAAAGTTTTTAACTTTTTTAAGTGTACGTATTATCATTCGAGATATATATGTAGCAGTTGGTGATTTGATGCACAGATCAATCTGTCAATAAAAAAAACTATCACATTAAAGTACTGAGTCACAAACCGTCACATATATGCCATGTAGAAAAACTACTTAAACTAGAAATACTATTTACTGTGAATAACATTATTCAATAATTAAACATATTCTCTTTTTTACACCCTGTGAGCTAATATTCTACGGATATCCACTCCTTATTATCATCCAAATTCAAATATTTGAACAAAATGATTAAGATAATCATTAGAAAATGCTATCGTTGTCTTTATTTGCAAAAGTGCGATTCGGATTCTTTCCTATTCTTGCCGTATTTTATTGACAAATTCTAATCGCACTACCTCAAGAAATATGTAACATTTGGTAAGATTATAAAAGATCTTCAATAATCAATGACATTATTTTACAATGAATAATGTTATTTAAAACTAGTATTCAACTTTGATTTAAGTGACAATACATGTGACAGTAAATTATAGGTTCAAAACACGTTGCATTAAATTGAGTGTAAATTACAAAAAATCGGGTATTTAAGTTTTCAAATTCAAAATTCAGGTGTGAAGTTTATTTAATAAAAAATCAGGTATTGATTTAATTATTAATTATATTAACCTAAATCACACACTCTGTCATCCTCATCTTCACCAGTCTCTCTCATCTTCACGCGTCTCTCTCTCACCCATCTCTCTCATCTTTCACTCATTTTCTTCCTCTTCATCGGAGGCATCCTCTTCATCGGCGAAAGCGGCATCTAGCAAACTGAGTGTCGTCGTATGCAGCCCCAGTCATAGTTGTCGTGTGGAGATCTGAAATTTTTTGGCAGTGCTGCCTTCTTCTTCTTGCACCACAGACTAGCCTTCTCTTCCCTCTCCGTTGGCAGTCCAACCTTGTGCCACCTCTACAATAGAGCACCTCCACAGAAGGTGCGATGGTCAATGATCAGAGCCACTTGCTCGCAGCAGCGTTGTGCCGCCATGGTGTTGAGATGATTTTGGGCGTGAAGATGGCGGCCACGCTAGATTTGGTTGATTTTTGTTTGTTGTTGGTGGTTGTGTCCATGGTGTGGTGATTGATGTTTGAGTGGTTTTAGTGGCGGTGGTGGATCAGGCTGCTGATGGTGGATCTAGAGTTGGTGGTGATGGATTTCGCCGTGGCGAAGGTGTGCTCTGCGTCCTAATTTGGTGGTTGTGTTATGGAGGTGAGGTGGTGGATTTGGCTGCTTGATGGTGGATCGAGATTTGGTGGCTGTGATGTGGAGGTGGAGTGGTGGTGGTGGTGGTGGTGATAGATTGGCTACTGATGATTAATCTCTATTTGGTGGTTATGTTGGAGGTGAGGTGAGGTGGTGGTGGATCTGGCGTGACGTAGTGGTGGTGGTGGTGGTTTTAGTGGCGAGTTGACAATGGTGTTGATTTGTTTAAGGTGGTAGCGGTGGTTCTAACAGCGATGGCGACGTGGTGTTGTTGAAGGCAGTGTTGAGGTGGTGGTTGCAAGTGTTGTGCAGAGGTAGTGTTTGACGACGGTGCTGTGTACAATGGTGTGCTGGTGGCGACGAATTTGGTGGTGGTGGTGGTCGGGCACTAGTCGTGGGTGGGATGAGACGGGGTAGGTGTTTGTGACCAATAATTGATTAATTTTTGACAAATAAATAATATGTGACCTAAAAATTGTGACTGTGATTCACAATTTATTAAGTTGTAATCAATAAAAGTTTTAAATTTTCAATCTGTGATCTATAAAAATTTTAATTCGAGGCCAAAAAATAACTTGTGACTATAAAATTCTTGATTTGTAACCATAAATTAAGTTGTGATCGAGAATTTATAATTGTGATTTTAATATATTTAATTAATAAATAAATACCTGATTTTTACAAATTTTGAACTTAACACCTAAAAATTGATTTGGTGATAGTTGAAACATGATCCATGAATTCTTCCCCTAAATTAATTCATTCAATCTCCATTCCTCAACTAATAATAATATAAGGCCATGTTTAATTGCAACGATTTCNTGTGACCAATAATTTGATAAATTGTGATCGAAAATTAATTTTTGATCAATTAATTAGATAATTGTGACCAAATTGCATATAGTTGTGTCCTTACAATATTTAATTGGTAAAAATATATATTTTATAAATTAATTTATTGAATTTGTTATATTTAAATAAGAAATATTTTTAATTAATTAGCTAAATACCTAATTTTTGTATTTTATATTTAAAACCTGAATTTTGAATTGTTGAAACTTAAACCCTCATTTATGAATTCTTCCCCTAAATTGATATTCTAGCATCACTAGATAACATTATTTTTTGGTTATAGGTCCAATTATATATAAGGATTTATGGCCCATTTAATAGGACTTATAATAGGTTGACAGATATGCTTGTATTCAAGACCATTTGTGTCAAATTTCATTATTCTTTTGAGTAATGCATGGCAGTACTAGTGGCATAAAATTATAAATTCAATTAGATATATAGTTCATTTAATATATGATATGCTGGCACCATTTCTAAATTTTAACACAATTAGTGTCGGATAACATTATTCTTCTGAACAATGTGTTTAACACCAAAGATAGTTAAAACTAATATAGGTGACCGCATGGGCGGACGCAGAACTCAAAAGTTAGGGGAGCACAATCGAACTTACAAAGAAATTAGGAGAAATTTTACAATATAAAATTTACGTCCAAAAAAATCATACCCCATGTAATTTTGTATTCGAAAATTTACATGGAATATGACTTCTAAAGATGTAAAATTTCGAAAAAAATTTATGTCATATTTCATAGAATGTTTNCATATAAAATTTCCTAATAAAATGATGAAAATTATATTGAGAAATTTGTATCGCAAAAATAATAAATGCTAATGAAATAATTGAATTTTTTTTTTTAAAAAAATGTGACTTAGACGTCTTTCTTTAATACTCAGGTTTAACGTATTTTTAACTATTTTCGATATCTGTTTGGACTATTTGATATGCCCATAATGTAGTTCTCGAAATAGGATTTGAGATGACATAAGCAATTTTTAGATCGATTAGCGTGCGATCGTCGAAGAATTTTTAAAATTAGCATATTATCGAAATTTTTGAAATACTAATTTTGAACAGCTTACTTTGACAAGTCGTAACATTTGCTACGATTGATCGTTTCGTACACCATTAATGACGCAGAAAACTAGACCGTGAACACTTCGAAATGGTATTAAGAATGCAATATTTCGCTCTTATTTGATGGAGAGATAAGATTTTGTTAAAAGTCGAGAGGAAAAAAAAAAGAAAAATTAAAATTTATTGTGATTTTGCCCCTATTTGATGGAGATTAAAATCAAATTTTAAGTAAATTTTGATAAAAATTAAATAGTTATGGATTCTATGAAATATATTACTAAAATTAATTGTTAACTTTAATTTAAATTAAAATTTACATTTTAATAGATACCAAACATGATTTTATATATTAAAAAAAAACTCAAAATTTGGAGGGCACCTGCCCCGGACCCTCAGGTCCGCCCATGGGTGATAGTGCTTATGATATTAGATTATGTGTTAATTAAATACGAGGATTTACAGTGCATTTAATAAGACATGTGATATGATGACA